CAAATCAATATCTCGAAAAAAAAAATTCCACTAATTTAAGTAAATTAAATAAACTGATTTAAGTAAATTAAATAATATAACAATAGTTATGGAATTACAATTATTTAATACCATAATAGAATCAATAATTAAGGAAATGGCAAAGACATAATTCAAATGACTTTTCAATTTCTCTCAATTTTTCTGAATTTTATAATTTTTATAATTTTTAGGGAGACTTATGTGTAGGTCCTAATAGGTAAACTTATCTAACAAGTCCTATGATAAGTAATGACATATTCATCAACACCATTAAAAAAAGGTCATCAATTGTTAATTTCCAGCGACAGTTTGAAAATTTTGTTACAAAAATGTCACTAATTATAAGTTTTAGCGACAGTTTAAAAAAATTGTCACAAAGAATTACTAATTTTCAATTTTTAGCTACAATTTGAAAAATTCATTATAGAAAAACGTCACTAATTGTAAGTTTTAGCGGCAATTTATAAAAATCATGATAAAAGAAAGCCACTAATTTTTAGCGACATGTGTAAAAAATTGTCACAAAAAATTATTTTTAGCGACTATTTTATTAGGACTTATTTTTAGTAAGACTTGATGGGAATTAAGTCTAACTATTAGATCTATCAACAATTTATCTTAATTTTTAAAATACACGTGTCATCTTGCAATTGGTCTAAAAATTAATTTAGCTAAATTAAAATAATATTTAAATGCTGCTAATGAATTCCAATAAGATAACAATTAATAGTTATGGAATTACAATCACTTACTATCATAATAGAATCAATAATTATGAAAATGACAATGACTTAATTCAGAAGATTTTTCATTACCTTCAATGCTCACATGTTTTTCCTCTACCTTATATTCCTATAATAATAATTCTATGGGAGATAAATCAAAACCGACAGTTTTTTTCATAGTAATTCTCTTATAATAGTCTTTTATTATTCTTTTTCCTTTAAACTCTTCTTTGATCTTTAAGAGGTAATTATTGATGAACTTTTGTGCATGAACTTCTTTTTTTATGATGTTAAGCGTCACTACAAGAAATAAGGGTTTTTGCGACGTTTTTTTAACGGCGTTTTCGTAAACGTCATCTTTATTAATATTTAACGACGTTTTAAAAACGTCGCATATTTATTTAATTAAAACGACACCGTTTTATGATCAAAGGCGTTTAAAAGTGCCTCCAAATGCTGTACACTGCACGCGCCTATTTTGAATATGAGAATAAAGCTTTGTAAACCTTCAGGTCTTCAGATATAAACGTTGAATCCTCTGAACCCTTATCCTCACGTCGCGCCTCTCTCTCAATCCTCTCTAAACCCTTATCCTCACGTCGCCTCTCTCTCAATCCTCTCTAAACATTGAATCTCACATTCAAATCTCACAGATTCACCGATTTCGAAGCTCTACCTCCACCACCATCTGCCCCGGCGAGGTAGCGAGATTTATCGATTCACCGATTTCATAGATTCACCGATTTCAGATCGATCTACACCGCCACCGCGATTTCGATTATCTCTCTAGATCTGTCTCTCAGAGATTCATCTTTGATTTCATCTCAGAGCGATTTTGATTTCTCTCTCTCTCTCAATTTCAAAGCTCCACCGCCACCACCTTCTATGCAAGCGTCCATGGCTTAGCACCTCATCTTCTTGTCTCTTCCACTTTGTATATACATACACATATATGTATATTTATCGATTCTCTCATGTACATACACGTATCTACATAGATACCGATCGATAATGGAGCAAAGCTTCTTCGATTTGATCTATTTTCTACACTGCCCAGGCCTCGCCGAGACATTCCTCGACGTTTTATTCTCCTCAGTCCTGATTTGGCTCACTGTCATGATCGGCCTTGTTATCGGTTGGTCCTGGCACCCTAGGTGGACCGGTTTTTAACCACACATCATGTTTAGTTTCTTCTATATAGGTGTGTGTGTACATTAGTACTAACATTCTATAAATTTAGTGAGCAATCATTTTAGTTGTTTTGGTTTTTAATGTAATCTTTGGGATAATAAAGTATTTTTCATTGACTATAGGTCGGCTTCCTAACAATAAGAGGTTGAATTTGGAAGCTGTAGGTGCTGAGCTTGACGAGATGGGAGCCGTAAAGGTTAATAACTAGCATCTGGTTCTTCTTATGAGCATATAATACCCACACTAGGTAAAATGTTTCACAACCAACTCTTATTAGATTTTTCACATGCCTAAGAAAACAAAATTCAATTTTTTTTTATTTTTTATTTTTTTTTTGGGGGGGGGGGGTTAGTTTTTCAGTGCTACGTGTATCAAAGATGGTTGAGTTTATTTTGGGGTTTTTCACAACATTTGCTCATTACTACTTATCCCATGTTTGGTTAACAATGTTTTCACCTCAATCTATTATTTCGTGGTCTATTTGATGTTGGTGATTCTAAATTGTTTTGCTTGTGAAAAAAATGTTTGTACCATGAGAAGTTAACTTCTTTGAGGTTCCCTACCCCTTTCATCTTGTATTTCAGGTGGATGAGTTCTCTCGCACAAACATTCCTAACATATGGGCTGTTGGTGATGTCACAAATAGATTGAATCTTACTCCCGTGGCCTTAATGGAAGGCACCTGCTTTTCAGTTTGTGCTCAATCTGTACCCTGATTAGTTATCATCATTGAATTCTAATTTTTTTTTTTCCGTTATTAATTCATCATTCAATTCTTTGCTTTGCCTGCAGAAAACTGTTTTTGGTGGGCAGCCTACCAAACCTGACTACAACAATGTACCTTGTGCTGTATTCTAGTAAAGTTTCTTCTGTTCTAGCAAATGCTTCATTTTTCTTCCCTCATATAATTCACCTGAGAGTATCCATCAGTGTAATGGAAGTGCTAAAATTGTTCTTGGTGCAGTTTTACCGTTTTTATTCGTATTCAGAGCTTGATAGAAATAAGTTGTTTCAGTAGGTTCATTTTTCTAATGAACCAATTCTGTTTATCTTTTTATTGAAATTTGTTTATGATATATGATTAGCTTGTGTTTTTTTGTTGTTTTACAGAATACCACCTCTTTGTGTTGTTGGATTAAGTGAAGAAGAGGCTATTGAGCAAGCAAAGGGTGATGTTTCGATTTTTACGTCAACGTTCAATCATATGAAGAACACTGTCTCAGGGTATGTGATTGGACATCTAATTTAGTAGATATCTTTATAAGCTTAGAGGGAAACAACTTACCTTCTTGGTGTAGGAATTTGTTGTAATGTCATGGCTTACAAGGCAAGGGATTTTGAATTTCTTCTTTTGATGATTCCTAATGGTTCAGTACTTTGAAGTCATTGAATTTTTTTTCTAGAAAACATGATTATCTGTGGAATTCCATTTGACGCAATTATGTATATAGACGGCAAGAGAAAACGGTTATGAAGCTTGTTGTTGATTCTGAGATAGATAAAGTTATTGGAGCATCCATGTGTGGGCCAGATGCACCTGAGATTATGCAGGTATCATTGCCTTTATATCGGGTTTCATAAAGTTCTTAACCTTCAGCTACGTATAGGTTTCAATTCTTCATTCACTTGGAACTGGATAATTCATATTTTCTCACCAGGTACTGTATTTATGCCGCCAAAGTGGTCACTGGGGTGTCATCAATGTCGTTGGAGCTATGACTCTGACGCATCGTGAGGTTGTTACTTTTGCATTTAAAGAGCTAAATAAATTCTCTCTCTCTCTCTCTCTCTCCCCCTCTCTCTCTCTCTCTATATATATATAAATGTTTGTTTGTGCATAACTATTCTTTTCCACTGGTTTTTTTTGTTTTTGGTATCTTATGACCAAGTTCACAATCAAGGTGGTATTTGACATAAGATATATGTTTGGTCTCTTGTTTTTTTGATGAGTAAAAGTTGATCCTCACATTTATAATTGTGGAAGTTGTTTTATTTTTAACTTCAAAAGAAAACAGAAGAAAGCTGTGAATTTTCTATAATTGCCTCTACTTTCTAGATATTTTGATCCTTATATTTTCACATATGCAGATTGCCAGAACATTTCGGGAGAAAGGTATACCTTGTGATGTTATATGGATGGATATTGACTACATGAATGGGTTTCGTTGTTTCACTTTTGACCAGGCATTCCTCATTAGACGATCTTAGTATATATATATATATATATATCCCTGGTACCATAAATGATTAGAAAATGGTTAGCTATTCCCTAGACCCTTCTGCCATTATTGACATAGAAAATGAACTATTGTGATTTGTATCAGGAACGCGTTCCAGATCCAAAATCTTTAGTGAAAGATCTACATCTCACTGGATTCAAAGCAACAGAGAAATGGAAAAAGTGCATTGGAGACAAAGATGGAGAGGTTGAATTACAAGTTAACAAAACTCATAAGTAGCTACTAGTAAGCCTGAAATCTCACTGGATTCAACGTCTTTAGTGAAAAATCTACATCAAATACCACTAAGTTAATGGGGCCAGGACGTAGCTGCATTTAGTTCTGCTCTCTCCTGGTGCCGTATATTTTTAGGCTTGTTTTTCCTGTAATCTAATCTTATCTAACTACTAAGTTGAAGCATTAACTTACTGTTTCACTTTCCTGAGCTTTTGATGCATTCCACTCAACCTCACAGTTTAGCTACAGCATGAGTCAGAATATGATTAAATGTAGTAAATATTAAATATTTCACATATCTTAATAGAGAGAAGGATATTTGTGCCTTCTATATGAGTTTTCCATTATGTTTGTTGCATACTGCATAAATACCTTTTCAAAAATCTTACTACTGCTGAATGGCATCTCATAATTTCTTCTTCTTCCTCTTCTTCTTCTTCTTTTTTTTTTTGAAAAGTTGCCTCTCATAATGTTTTACTAACTCTCTTGCATTTACCCTCTTAACCTCTTCCCATTTTGTCCAGAGCTTCTCCCTTTCCCTTTTTGTTTATTCTTAAAACAATTAACTAATCATCCATTTTGGTATTTCACTTGCAAGCTCAATGCCATGTGTGTGGATTCTATTTGTTTTCTTCCTTCTTATCAGCCAGTTCGGCGGGGCACAAATGGTGGTGTGACAAAAGCAGGACTCCTAGCAGCTGTTGTGGCAGGCAGCATCATTGAACTAACATTCGTTTTCATAGGCTTTTTCACAACAAGATGCGCTTATGACGTGGCTCTGAAGCAGCTACTAGTAATACCTATTTCTGCTTTGGCAGGGCTTTGTGGAAGTGTCATAGACTCTCTGTTGGGAGCAACACTGCAATTCAGTGGATTCTGCAGTGTCCGTAGCAAAGTAAGTTCCACATATTATTTGAGATAATTATAAGAAATTGAAATACATTAATGAATGATTTGATTAATTCTTATGCTTTTTACACCTTCAATTCATATGGATGCTACACATATCATCGGATTTACTCTCAAAATATAACAATCCTTATGTGATTGTATTTCTTCTACTCAAAAATGGCAAACCTATTAGGTGGCCTACACCAACTCAACAATGTGATTGGATGTTTTTCTTTTGTTTCAAATATGTAATAACCCAAAGAATTGTTTTCAAACGTAGAAACTTGGTTGGAGATGACCATTCTCTGCCTGCTGTAGCAGAAGTGGGACTGTCGCTTAGATGCAGTTTTCCTTCCACTATTGTACTAATAGCTGATGAACCTGGTATGAGGATGATACCCTTTCATCAATATGGATGCAGGCATGTTCTTTTAATCTTACTTTCTTTCAAATCAATGATATGAATCTTATTTTAATTTGTTGGAAATAATTGTTCTCTTATTTGAATAAATTTATTCCATGCTTTTAGCGAATAAACTTGATGTTATTTGGAGTGCAATTCAAGCCGACCGTGGTCCAGGGCAAGTGCGTGCTACTCCTATCACTGTAGCAAATGGGCGCACTATTCGAGTATCTTCAGTATGTATAAGTGATTCTGGAAAAGCTTTTGGAAACTCATCTGTTCTCCATTTAAGTTGGGAACTCAGCAATTGTGATGGTTTGGCATCTTGGGGTGATTCCTATGATTTAGCAACATCCAAATCCACCTGGGAGAGGTTTTTGTTATTGCAGAATGCATCAGGATTGGTACTGCCAAACCTTTGATTTGTTTAAATTTATTTTATATCATTGTATTTAATCAGGGTTTAGGTATTTTATGATATGTAATTTTTCCCTTTGGGTCTTTAGGTGAGAGGCTGGACCTTGGCATTGCAGTACCTTAATATTAATGATTTTATGAATATCTGTGTCTTCTAATGAATTAAGGGGAAAAAAAATGATGTAATGCTGTCCAAAATTCTATTAGAAGAACTGATAATTTGATAATCTAGTGCTTCTTCTTTGCTTCTAGGCCCTTCTTATAAAGATGTTATATTTAAATTGTTATTTTTCATGCTTTCTTGACATTGGATGTGAGCTGAAATGTTAATTTTTTAACTTTTAATGCATTTCATTTTGACTTCTTAGTGCATTGTTCGTGCTACTGTTTTTGGGTTTTCTGATAACATGGTTGATGATCATTCTATTGCACCATTTGAAAACTTGGAGAGTAATCTTACAGATGCTGTATGTTTACAGGTATGTTGTTTATTATTTAATTTCTATGCAGATTCTTGGGGCCTGTTTGGTTGCACTTAATAGTATGAATATCTGTAACTTTGCAAAAAAAAAAAAAAAACCAAAACAAAAGGGTGAATAAATATGAGAATTGTTTTCTAGTGTTCTTTTTCCTTGGAGAAAATATTTGAATGCTAGTGTAACAATGGAGGTAGTTTGCTTCTTGATAATGGGTCATAATCTTCGCACTTGCATTTCCAGAAACAAACTCCTAAACACATTCGCAGTTGTTCCCCCTTTTCTTGTTTTTCATTTTCTGTTGAAAGTGGAATATTGTTTTGCAATAAAAACTAAAGATATTTTTTTTTTTTCGTTTTTTTTTTTTTTTTTTTTTAACCTTAGTTGCTCGAGGTTCATGGTTTATCTGGTTGGTTCTTTGTACTGTTTATTTTATTTGACTTCTTTGGTTTTATTTTTCTGCTCATAGTGCTGTTTAAAATGCTGCTAGTTTCTACTCTAAGAGTCAACCCGGAATTCAGTTTGTTATTCTTCAGTAATGATGCTCAGGTAACCTTGATGCTATTATATATTAATATGTCTGGCCAGTAAAGGTGCCATGAGAATGATGCACTTCTTTAGTAGTGTTTAGGAGATTGCTAAATCCACAACCGTTATGACTGCATCCAGATTCCACAGCCTCCTTTCTCATGTGGGGTCCACCTATGTGAGAGGGAACAATGTGGGTAAAGCCTAAAAGTTATGATTTTAGCAGTGGCATTGTTTTGTATTTTATCTGTTTGCATCTTGTCTTATCATGACCAGATCAAAGTCTGGATATAGTTTTAGCTCAATCAACTTATTGCAATAATGCAGTGAAAGTCTGGATATAGTTTTAGCAGTGGCATTGTTTTGTATTTTATCTGTTTGCATCTTGTCTTATCATGACCAAATCAAAGTCTGGATATAGTTTTAGCTCAATCAACTTATTGGAATATGTGATTAGCAGCATAGCTTTAGCATAATGGAATAAATCATTAGTTAAAGAAATTTGTCATGATATTAAGATGCCCGATTTATGTGTATAAATGTTAAGTATTCACTGTTGTACAGATGCATGTGCACCTCAAGCGACATTTAATGAAGGATTTGCCTGAAATAGATGATGCTGTCGCCCAATGGTGCAGAGATATGTTTGTGGCCAAGGTGCACACACTCTTCTTTCTTATTAATTTGTTTGTTGGTGTGTTGCATTTTTGAGAGGACTTGCTTCCCTTTGAGGCTTATGGTTTCTATTTCTGTCATGGTGTATATCAAAACCATCCGAATGTCTGGTCCTCTATTTCCTATTTTTTACTAATATTTGTTCTGAGAAGATTGTTTATTTGTTATTGACTTTTCTTGCTTATTGTGTCTGCTTCAAACTGATTTTATGACAGGTAGCAATGTCAAATGTGATTAACTAGTTGAATGTTTTCATTAGCTCCATGAAGTTAATATTTTTGGTAGTGACCAGGGTTCATGAATGTAAAATGCCTGGAGCAAAAATGTAGACCTGATAGAAGGCTAGTATGAGCTATAAAACTGTCATGCCAGTTATAATCTGTTATACATTCTTCGGGGCATCATCTATCTGCCTACATTTTTTTTTTGGTGTCTTGCATATTCTCATTCACCCATGGGTCTACATGCTTCCAGACAATGATTGGAAGATGTGGCTCTACACAGATATGAACTATTAACTAGAATTCAACCCCAAATGGTAGAGATTTGAGCTTTCTTCTGGAGTTTTGAGTTGCATATTAGCTGCTGAAATCCTATATCACTCGTTTATAAACAAATGGAATTAAGAAAGCATAAGCTGTTCTGCTAGTTTTTGGTGATTACTAATTCTAATATACTTTTATGGATATCTATAAAATCATGCACCTTTCCACTTCAATTATTTGTTTTGTCGCATTTGTTTTGTTTTGTTTCTTTTGTTATAAGCAACACTTTTGGCAATTGTTAATTTCATATATCTTGTATTTAGTTTTTAATAAACATACTTGGTATTCTGTTTTAATCTTTTATTTGAGTGCTAGAAACTAATGAAAGCTTTCAAGTTTGTAATTATTTAGGCAAATTTGTTTGCTTTTGTTTTACTGGATATAAGGACTAGATAGGAACTGTATTGTGTAGGCTGCATTTGAACCCCTGGTGAAATTTCTGAATGAGGAATCGCAAAGATTATTTGAAACAGATGATGCTGTCGCCCAATGGTGCAGAGATATGTTTGTGGCCAAGGTGCACACACTCTTCTTTCTTATTAATTTGTTTGTTGGTGTGTTGCATTTTTGAGAGGACTTGCTTCCCTTTGAGGCTTATTGTTTCTATTTCTGTCATGGTGTATATCAAAACCATCCGAATGTCTGGCCCTTTATTTTCTATTTTTTACTAATATTTGTTCTGAGAAGATTGTTTATTTGTTATTGACTTTTCTTGCTTACTGTGTCTGCTTCAAACTGATTTTGTGACAGGTAGCAATGTCAAATGTGATTAACTAGTTGAATGTTTTCATTAGCTCCATGAAGTTAATATTTTTGGTAGTGACCAGGGTTCATGAATGTAAAATGCCTGGAGCAAAAATGTAGACCTGATAGAAGGCTAGTATGAGCTATAAAATTGTCATGTCAGGTATAATCTGTTATACATTCTTCGGGGCGCCATCTATCTGCCTATATTTTTTTTTGGTGTCTTGCATATTCTCATTCACCCATGGGTCTACATGCTTCCAGACAATGATTGGAAGATGTGGTTCTAGACAGATATGAACTATTAACTAGAATTAAACCCCAAATGGTAGAAATTTGAGCTTTCTTCTGGAGTTTTGAGTTGCATATTAGCTGCTGAAATCCTATATCACTCGTTTATAAACAAATGGAATTAAGAAAGCATAAGCTGTTCTGTTAGTTTTTGGTGATTACTAATTCTAATCTACTTTTATGGATATCTATAAAATCATGCACCTTTCCACAGCATACCAAAGGCATTAAAGGTAAGGTATGAACCAATTATAGATGTTTGGTTGGTGATGGTCAAATATAGCTCCTTTGGTATTTTCCAAAGTATATGTTTAATTAATTTGTTTTCAGTTTTTACATAATTGTCAGAATGCTCTCCATGTGCTAATTCGATTTACTTCTGTTGCAGCTTACGAGCATCAATGGAAGGTTTTCTTGATGCTTTTAATCCCAAGGATTCTGTGGCTAAGGATGCAGAGACTATCAAGAACGAGAGCTTAAGCATCAATAAAGATCCAAAATGTGTGGAACTATTAATAAATGCAGACAAAGACAAATTGCAAGCACAGCTACCTAAGGATATACCATTGGATTTTAAAAAAAGGTTATTATAGCCAAACATGAGAAGCAAGAAGCCAACTCTGATATTTTCTTGGGAAAAAATGAAACTTACAAGTGTCTTATGGGTATGTAAACAGTGGGAATTAACTACTTATGCAAAAAGGGTTAACTGAATTCTTTCTTCAAGAAGCATAGTGTATGGTAGTTGAACCATGTTTTGAACATATATGTCTTCTATCAATGGTCTAATAGCAATTGATAGAAAGTTCTTATTCTTTTTATCTTGTTTAATTGGATTATAGCGTACTGTATGGTTCTAAATGTATCATCTGTTGCACATAGTTTAGGCTCATCTTTGGATATAGTTGGAAGACAAGTGGTATTTTTAATATTATAAGCCATATTAGTGTGCTTTTTATTCCTTTTTAATTTTTTTGGGCAAATTACACTTCTAGACTATTTTGATTTTAATTGATGTATTTAAAGTCTGAATTGTTTCTATTCTTAGGTATGCAATGCATTGTTTTTTTATTTTTAATTTTGTTTTCAAGCTTAGTTTATTTATTATTTTAATAAACATTAATTATTAGTTTTTAATAATTGTTTGCCAGGTTTTTTTTTTTGTTCAACCATATAAAATTAACACAATCTAAAAATTAAAAATTAAAAAAAAAAGGCTATGGCGGCGTTTAAAAAACGTCACTATATCCCATCCCAACGGCTAGATTTTTAAAATGTATAAATGTCTATAACAGCGTTTTCAAAAACGTCGCTAAATGTCAGAGTGACGTCACAGTACAGTTAGGGTAAGACATTTGGCGGTGTTTTTAAAAACGCCGCCTATACTCATATAACAACATTTTTTAAACGCCATAAAGTTATAGCGACGGCCGCGTCGTCGGCGTTTGGTACTAAACGCCACAAAAAAAAAATTAGCGACGTTTTTAGTACTTTTAGTGGCGTTTTTTAAATGCCGCTAAAAGTGGATTTTCTAGCAGTGCGTTAATTAGATTTATATAATTTTCTTTTATGATGTTAGACTTTTAAGATTTATAACTTATTAATACATTATTGATATATCATTATTTTTTATAATTATTTTTTCTTTACTCTTTTCCTCACAATTATGCCCTCATTATATTTGTTTTTAATGAATTATTTTTTAATTTTTTTTGAAGTATGGATCAAATCCGTATTCATGGATGGAATGAGAAAATGAAATTAGCAAAGTTGGCATGAAGGAGACATTTGTTTCTTCGGCACAATAGTAGACAGGAGAATCTGTTAACAAGAGACAAACTCATACACTCCTATTGTGACATATGTATTTAGAGTTGATTGGTCTGAAGAATGCTTGCATCTTTTTAAAGAATTTTCAACAAATCGTAATCTTCATAGTAAGCATGTGTGAAATATTGTGTGTGTGTGTGCGCATGTTTTTATTTATTTATTTGTTTTTTATTTTTTTAACTTAACAAGTTAAATTCATTTATTTTTGTTTAGTAACTTTATGTATTTGACAACAATTACAGGAATTTGAACGAATGAACTGATTGGAATGATATCTCATCATCAAATTCATTGTCCTCTTACTTTTATTCTAATTGGATGGAGAATCAGTGTAAATTTAATTACATTATTATCCATGTTGATCCACATTTAATTTTGAAATAATTTTAATATTTTAATTTGTTAACAATTTATTATTACATTATCAATATTTCGCATTATCTTATCTTAAGTTTCTTTTGTCCTTATGGGCTACACAATGAATTTTTAAGTTATTTTATGACAATATAAAAAAAGTACTAATAATATAAATGTATTAACTGTTGAGTTGATTTATTGAGTGGCTCATTGAGTCAAATCAGAAGGTTGGCTCATATTCAATAAGGCCTGCAAGTTGGCAAGTTGCACTTTTAGAATCTTGCTAGATACATTGCACTCCTGT